CATATGTGAGAAAACAAATTAGAAATGGATTTATTACATTTGAAGATGCCAAATGTTATAACATTAAGTGGTTCCAATCAGGGTGTTATTGATTTAAGTAAAAAGTGTTGAGGCAACATCAGAAATTTCATAGGTAGATGATTTTCTATAGAAGTTCCAAATTTAGAATAAACCCACAAAAAAATCAGGCAGTCAATTCAAAATTTTGGCATGTCAAAAAACTTTAATTGTTGCCATTGGAAAGTTGTCCATATTATGCTTTTAGCCACCAACAATGAACAATTTGTTATTAAATAAGCTTTTTTTCATTTGCTCATTTAATTTATATATTGTTTGAGATAGGAAATCAAAGCAAGTATTAGGCATGTAACTAATCAACTACACCAAGTATCCCAGATTGAAAGGGATCTATTCAAACATTATTAACTAAGTAAAGCCTTTCACCTATCAAAAAACTAAGTAAAGCCTTTCTCAATCTACCGCACACAGTAGTATTCTTTCCTCAAGATGCTAACGTGCTATTCATTTTTGTCATGGAATCTAAATTAACTGTACATTTCCTGTCAATATAAAGCAACCAATACTTCTTGTAAACCAGGAAAGCCTTCATGACCAGAGAAACGCTAACTGATCAAAAGTATTAAATCAAATTCAATCTTCTAAGTAAGTTCACACCTTCAGCCATAACCTGAGTGATTATTTCATCTTTTTCCTTCAAAAGAGCTGCAGCGTCAATTTTCTTACTCTGCTCTCTACGTAGTGTATCTCTTTCCTTAGTGAGAGCATAAACCTGAAAAAAATGCTTGTAAGTTGCTCAAATTGATTTCAACAAGGTGAATAAATAACCGAACACAAAATCAGCATAGTACTTTCAGAAGCATACACATGCAACATGGAAAGTTAAATAATCCATTAATCAACTAACGTGACATGCTAACATATGGACTAAAGATTCATCACAGAAATTTTCACAATAATCATCTTATGAAACAACAAATAGCTGGAAAGATAAGAACAGGATGACTCAGTAAAATATGCGGTCACATAAGGTAGGAAGTAGAGTTCGTGCGGAGAGACTTTATATCATCCAATTATTTGAAGATGCTGGAATCAACTAGTCCAATATGTGCAAGAAACTGCAATTTTATATGATCAGTTGACAATGAAGTCTAATGTTATCCAGCGAAGCTAAAATGAAATTTCAAGATTATCAGCACCAACAAAGAAATTAAGTGTGCACACAATGTATATGACTGCTTATCTCTATATCCGTAAACGAGAATAATTAAATAGTGAAGTATAAGAATAGATAAAACAAATTAAGGAGAATTTCAAGGTTTAGCAAATCCACTGGAAAGTCAAGTAACTTGCAGATGAGACGTTAAAAAATGCAAATTACTCCTTTTATCAAGTAATCTGATGCAATAAAGCAAAAAAAAAGGCACCTCAATTCTATTGAATATTCTTAGCAACACAACATTCCTATTTTTTCTACACAAAAATTTCCTAGATGTCTTAACAGGCCATGCCATCTTCAACTTTCCTTGCATTGTCATAGTGAAACTTGATGGAAGAAATAGAGACCGTAAATAATATAACTTATATACCTTTCTTTCAAGTGTTGCCACCCTTTGATGATACTCCTCCCGGAGAGATTCAATTTCTGCTTCATTTGATTTTGTCTGAAAAAATGATTTCCTCAAGTTAAAAGAGGTTATATGTCCTTATATCTGAATATATGTATCTGAATATAAATAATTGTATAAACATTAAAATTGCACTCAGATATATGAGCATAAAATTTCTCATGAAAGGGAGAAAAGAATCTACAATATATATTCCCAAATTAAGATTCCGCTGCATTACAGTGAGTAGACCATGGCATTCAACTCGATTATCGGTTTTACAATTTTAATTTTCTCACTCTTTTCTTACCTTATATGGCCAAATGCACTTATTTTACCTCACGCAAAGATACTTCAAAGTTCTCCATAGTCCCAACCGCTTTTTCCTTTTTTAAATATAGTTGAGGACCTTTGATCAGAGACAATCAAAGTTTTTTTTCTTTGCTACGTACTTGTTTATATTTATATCATTAAGCATTCATACTTAATTGTTTATTGAAACTAATGACCTAAAAAGGAGAAAAATTTTAATGCTGAATTGGAGATTGACTGTAAATCTTTCCCATCTCTTGTCACAAAGCCATCAGGTATCAATTAAATAAATGTCCATTTTGTGTTTTCTAAACGAGTAAATCCGACAACGTACTTTGATAAATCTGTACAGTTTTGAGTCTTTTGACGCAGAATCTCATTCTCCAAGTAATTTTTGTTACACAGTACTCGGCCTTGTACAATATTATCAGCTGTTCTCCAGCCCAATTGACTACCATAACATCCATGATCATGAAAGATCCCAAAAACACACTACCAAAGCCCTGATCTATACACGTAAAAACAAAACGTGTCCAGGAAAATTACAGTTCAGACGAGAGAGAGAGAGAGAGAGAGAGAGAGAGAGAGAGAGAGAGAGAGAGAGAGAGAGAGAGAGGGAGGG